GTGTGGGTGTGGGTGTGGGTGTGGGTGTGGGTGTGGGTGTGGGTGTGGGTGTGGGTGTGGGTGTGGATGTCGATAAAAAGAACACCCACACCCTCACCCTTGAAGTATTTCAATGATCCAGTGTTGATTATCAGTAAATATATCAAAGTTAAGCCTCAGAGAATGCAATGATGTTTACCTTTTCTTTGCATTGAGTTCGTTTCACTAATCGCAAGAGTCAACAATCATTCATCTAGTTCTTATTTATCGGTTTTACCATCAAAATTATACATTCGTATACAATTTTTAGCGTTCTATTTGTATTTGCATAAAGTACAGTCTCGTATTCTACTGGTTAGCGTATATTTTTCTGTGACAAAGATTTTTCTTCAGAAAAATAACAAGATTACAGCGACTTGTCAGAATATCGTATTATTGCCAGTATTTTGGTAAAATGACCGTAGAAAAAAATCCCTCAACACAATCTCTACAGGATTCTAATGTACTATCCATCACAGTTGATGACGGAGATCAAAATATCAAATATAAAAAGAAGGAACAGTATGTATTCAGGTAAGAATAAATATTTATTCTTAATTTTTGATCAATGACGAATGTCTAGTTTCATGTAGAACAACCTTAACACACGTCGGTGGTGTAGTGGTGAACACATTTGTCTCATAAGCAAAAGACCCAGGTTCGATTCCTGGTCGACGTTATCTTCAAATATTTTTTCAATTAGTTTTTAGTGATTGCATCATATTTTTTCTCGGATGTTGTATGAGTCATCCAAATCTTCACATATAAATGCTCATCAAGGAAAATAAGTCATTTGAATCTACTCAGTAGACATTCATATAATGTACGAGATCGATGAAAGGACACGAAACAATTTATAGAAATTCTTACAATTGTCCATAATGCGTTCATAACTTCAAAATTTTCTATTTATCTACGTTAGTATCAAGCAATACATGAGTTGTTACCAGATCATGAGAAGGCGAATCCTATTGCTAAGAGAATCAAACAATTCGAAAAAATCTGTTCATAAGTCCACAAATATGTAGAAGAAGAAACTATGTCAAAGGATATCTATCCATTGTCAATTCGAATAGTATTTGAAAATAGAATAAAACCTCATTGAATATTTAGTTGTCTACAAAAAGGAATTCTATTTCTTTCAGGTTTTGAAGACTTCAGATGATAACCATTAGCTAATGGATCATGTATCGAGTTCTTTATCAAACACACAGATACCATTGTTCCTTCATCCTTTGTAAAATCTAGCGATGTAAATGAAAAAAACATTGTTTCTTCATTTCTATGTTGTGATTTCTGTCTATGGTGCAATACGACATTTTATTTATTATATGAGTCAGAAAAATATTATTGCAGTAATTACTATCAACATATTTCATTTACACAAGAACATATCAATCAAGTATGTCGAGGATGAAATTTGAATTTTTACCAAATAAAATTTTGATCGAATGTTTTGAGTATATGAATGCTTTGGATATACTTCAAGCATTCGATCAATTAAATTATCATTTTGACACACTTATTCGAACTATTCCCTTGTATCTCGATTCTGATCATGTAAATAGATCGATATTTAATCAATTTTGCAAGAAAATTTTATCAAATTATAATGTGAAATTACAAATTTATTCATTACATTTTGTCAAATACATATAAATGTAATCAAATAAATCTATTTCTTTCATGATTATCACTCAATAAATTTCTACAACTTTAGTCTTTCACGTTGATTGGTGTAAAAGAAGATCAAGTCGAAAATTTGCAACAAATCTTACCATTAATATCTCAATTATCCTTTTTACATTTGATTCAACCTACATATTCAGTTATAAATATTCTAATTAAATGTTCGATGTCGAAATTACGAACATTAGCAGTGACAGATTCCTATCAACATTTAGAACTTATTGATCAAATTCCATCAATTACAAATTTAACAATTCCAAATTGTAATTTGCATTCGTTATAACGAATATTGAAAACTGTATCGATGTTAAAATATCTTAACTGTTCAAATCTTTTTCAGCGTCAAGTGTCTTCGAATAATTCGATTCAATTCAAAGAAAATTATCAATGTATTCATTTAAAACAATTAATTATACTTGAATTTCAATGTACATTTACAGATTTGCAAATGTTCATAAAACATACACCAAATTTTAAAAGTTTTATTATATTTGTTGATTATGAAAGAAAGATGATTGATGCTTATCATTGGGAAGAATTAATCATATCTTTACTATTTCAATTAACTTGTTTTCAATTCAAATTTCTTATCGACAAGATGATCAAGATATTCTTGATAAATTCAAACAATTTCATTCTGCCTTTTGGCAAGAAGAATATCATTGGTTTATAGAATATATCTTAGATGATTATTCAGCTGAGATTTATACAATACCTTATTTACACAATACATATAGATTAACAAGTGATTTGATGAGATATTCGAATAAACGGATAAATCAGTTCACAATATATTCGACAATGTAACAAATTTATTCATAGATAATCAATGAATAACAAAATATTTTTCAAATCGTTTCTTTAAAGTGATATCATTAACATTAGGCCATTTAACACACAAATGCAACAATACTGATGATTATTCATGAAGAGAATATATCGACTCTTTAAAAATGATTGTTAATTTATCTTATATAAAATATTTAGATATTTCAAATAGTTATCATATGGAAATGTCATTTGTATTACTCGAAATCTTAAAGGAAGCATCAAATTTATCATCAATCAGAATTGCACCACATATTTTCAAAGCATTATTCGATGATAATGGTTTACAAAAGTATTTAAATAAAATGATTCGAAAAGGCAACAATTTATTTGCTAAGTAAATTTATTAAGATGCTAAGTTGACTTTTGCCAAGTAAAATTTGTATTTGGTCAGTATATAAATTGACTGCTAAGTAACAATATTGCACGCACAGTTAATTTATAGTTTCTCAGTAAGACGATATTTGCTAAATGAGATAACTAATATCTAAGTAAAATATGTTTTTGCTAAGTTAAAATTATTACTACTAAGTAATTTCTAATAAAGACTAAGTACGACTATCTAAAATAGTATGAATTTTTTGATGGCATAGCGTATACATTTTCTCTTTTCGTATGCTTCTGTCAAAATTGAAGTATCATCACGATATATGTGTGTTTCACCTATAGTTTTCGTTTGATATCATGCTTAAATACATCCATTTTCTCTTCGAGGATGCTCCAATGCAATAAGTTCTTTTTTCTGTCTCCTGTTTCTTTTATATTCGTAAACTGTACATGGTTTTTCAAGACTTTTTCGTGTTTTCAATTTTCTACTAAGCTTTCACACAAACCCATCCTATTTTTGTATAAGTATCTGTTATTGAAAATTTATTTCAATTTTCGGATGTGGAGGTGAGTGTAGAGACGAGAGTGTTTGTAAAGAGAATGCTTTCACTAATATTCAAAACTCATATCGACACATACACGTTAGCATTGACAAAACTCTCTGTCAAAATTCAAATTACTTAGAACCCATTTGAACTGATCCATGTGAATAAGGATGTGGGTGGAGATAAGGAGGCACTAATTCCAGTAACCCTGTTAACAGGTACTAATTTCCCAGTTTCAACTAGAACAGATCCCTATTTAACGAGAGACGAGTTTGCGCAGAACTGTGACTAATAACCATGAGGGCGTGTGTGCGTGTGGGCATTCATTTTATACATATCCATACCCACACCCACACTCATCCCAATAGAATTTACAATGCTCCTAACTACTCCGCGAACGAAATCTTGTTTCATGCTTTGCAATCCTTGGGTTCTACGGTGAACTTTCAAGGTCTCCCATCGGAAAGAAGTTAGGCAGATGTCCACCTATGTCTGTATCTTTTTGCTATTCAAGGTTTTCGTTATGATGGACGTATTTTGAGTATATGTTAGGATCATGATTATTAATGAGAAATGAACATTTCTGAAGCTAATGAAGTTTAATTAATTAAGCGTATTGTTAATTTACATATTTGTGTGATAAAAAAGTGTCATTGGTTTATTAATTAATTAAATTCGTAGGTAAGAAAATATATGTCATTTGATGCGATTTTTTTCTGAGATTAATTTCATTGTGGATTGTATTCAAGTTCGAATTTTTGTACTCGATGATTTCCATAATCGACGACATAGACATTACCGTCTCGATCGAATGACAAACCGAAGGGCCAATGGAGTTGGTTCGATTGTTCTCCTTGACCGTTTCCACCAACAATGACACTTCCTTGTGTGGCTCCTTTGGACCAACGCATGATTCGATTATTCTCTGCATCAGCCACATAGACAGTGCCCAATTGATCGACAACGACTCCTTCAGGATCTGACAATTGTGTAAGACCATTTCCTTTTCCTTGACCACCAGCCACAACAATGCCTTGTTTTGCACCTTCCATCCATTTCATCACACGATCATTTCCACTATCAGACACATATACTGAATGATCTTGATCGATGAATACGTATCGTGGCGAAGAGAGTTGATTGAGACGATTTCCATATCCATTGCCACCTGCAACCACTATTCTTTGAGATTCTCCTCTTCGATATCGTCTCACTTCATCTTTTCCATAGTCAACGACATAGAAAGATCCATTCTCATCCATTGTCAAACTCCAACAATCGATGTTGGAGATGATTGTTTCTCCACTTGTTCCATTTCGACGAGGCCATCGAACCACTCTTCTATTCGAATAATCGGAGACGATGAGACTATCTCTCTCTTTGTTAACAATCACATCTTGTGGGTAAGATAATTGAGGGTGTGGGTGGGTGTGGGTGTGCGTGTGGGTGGGTGTGGGTGTGGGTGTGGGTGTGCGTGTGGGTGGGTGTGGGTGTGGGTGTGGGTGTGAGTGTGGGCGTGGGTGGGTGGGTGTGGGCGTGGATGTAGTTGAAGAGAAGAATAACACCCACACCCACACCCACACCCACACCCACACTCACACCCACACCCACACCCACACCCACACCCACACCCAACATGAAAAACCAGGATAGAAAGATAAGGCAAGGGGTGGGTGTGGGTGTGGGTGTCGAGCGGATGTTCTCCTAATAGCAAATTTGCACCCAAACTTTTCTTTATGAGAGTACTTACCTATATCTATCAAACGGTGCTCAAGAAAATTTGAAAATCCTAAAGCAACGCCAGGAGAATATTTTGAATTTATTGAGAATTTTTGTGAATCCAAGAAAATCTACACACCTTTTCAACTGTTTTTGAAGAACGATAGAACAGAAACTTCTGAAACTTACAGAACAACTAGATCTCGACTAGTACATGAAAATTCGTCATAGACTCAAAATTCAAGGGTACTTTCTT